TCCAGTTAGACTTGCTGGCTGATCCGACCAGATAAACTTTTATGGAAAACTTGGTGCCAGGAAGTAAGTGATGAGTCGCAGGTACCACTCAGGTCCGAAAGGGCGGTGAAATTTTACCGATACTAGAGCCACAGCATTTGCAAAAAGCAGCCCACTAATCATAGTTATTTCTGCATTATTTAACAATACTTTGCAAATGCTGCACTAATTTTCACGAAATTCGAAACCGAAATTTGTACAGATTTTTTAAATTTAAACCTTTTGAATTTTTCGAAAAAAGTTTGATAAGTTTGATAAGAAAAAAGTTTTAAGAAAATTTTTTAGGAGATATCTTTTCCATTTTAGTTTTAATTTCATTTTTATTTTAATTTTAATTTTGTTTTTGTTTTTTTTTATGTTTTATATTTAATATTTTTAAATTTCTATTTAAGCCTTTTTATTATTAATTAAATATTTTTTAAATTTAAGTTATTAGTATTTTTAATCTTAAAATTTAGTTTTATTAATGAATATTAATAAAATTACTTTTGTTAACAAATAATAAATTAATATTTTTAATGTTAAAATTTAATATTATTATTATTAAATATTTTTAATCTATATTTTCATTTCATAATAAATATTCAATATTTGATTAAAATTTCGATATTTTTTATCATATTTTATGCAAATTATTTTTCTAGAATATATTTTTATGCATTTCAATAAACAATTTCTTCACTGAAGGCGTCGCACATTTCAGCCTGTTTTCGTTGCATTTTGTTTCATTTCGTTAAAAAACTGGTCTCTGAAAAATCGGCAATGTTCCTCGTTCGTATAACCATTTTTCATTTAAATTTTTCATTTATTTTAGGATTAGAAAAAATTTTTTCACTCGAAAATCAAATCGAATGTTGATTTATTTTTTCATGTAGTTAACAAGTAAGTTTTTGATAAATTTCGAAAAAGAAAATGCATATTTATAGAGTCTTTTTTTAGTAAATATTGACTCGCTAAACTGATCATGGAACTTTTCTATTTTAAGAGTTCCCACCATTAATGCAACTCGCTTCCCTGGCTTGTCGCACTGGACAAATATGCCAGGGAGTCCCATGGCGATAGAAGCACAGGTGAGTCACCCGTGTTTTTGGACAGGTTTACTCCTGGTGGAAATAGAACCTTAGTATCGGCGCTTCGAATCGAACAACAATCCACTAAGCCATCATCCTATTATGAAACTTAGAAATAGGAATAAACTTATAATTAGAACTAAAATCAAAACGGTTGCTAGAAGCATCCTGTGGATTATTCGTCTTATATGCTTAAATTTTTCTGAATTTTAACTTTGTTTTTCATTTTTTTCACTGATAAGACCTGATTAATGATGATAGAAAGATACGCTAATGATAAGGATTCAATATTTATTCGATAACGCTAATAGTATTCAAATACATAGTCTTTTTTTTAGTGAATTTTTTCGAAAAATCGTAGAATATTCGATTTTGCTTGATATTTGTTGAGATTATTCTAATTTCAGGTCGATTTTTGGAGGGACTAAAAAACCTTCAATGGCAAAAAAGGCTCATTCACTTATTTCCCCATTTCTAAATATTCGCAATTTTTGCTGGCAATTTAATTTAATCTATCTTTACATCGTCTAAAAATAAGATAAATTCATCGAAATCGCCTAATTATATAAATTTTACTAAAAAATAAAATTGCTTTTCTACAAAAAACTTTAAAAAAAAAAAGATCGAAAAATCTGGATTTTCCCGACGACTATTTCTACCCGATATTTTTTTTTGCCAAAAATTGTCTGCTGAACATTCGACAATAATCATAATATTGTACAATCAATAGTCGTCAAAAAGAACGAAGAAAGGATTCATCGTTCATTTTTTTGTACTACTATACACGCACAGTAGACAGACGTATGCGAGACGCCATGCATTCGTTGCTTGTTCGAGTATTGGATCATCGACAATTGTCTCATGCCGGTCAACTCTTTACGATGTCCGATTACGATATCATTGATGATCTGGTAATTGATCTGATCTGTTATATGACCTATTATTGTCTAATTTTATTTAATAACAATCATATGACAATTGTTATCCTTAATTGTTAGAGAATTATTTCATAACAATTGGAAACACTAAAAGAATATTTCTACGATGCGCTTTTAGAAACGAAATAAAAATGGCTGTTAGATTAATAAATCAAAAATAATAATTTAAATTTATTAATATTGCATTTATTATTAATAATATTTTCAATATTAATATTATACAATATTAATATTTTTAAATATATTAATTTTAATTTTATCGATAATATTAAATTTGTTATTAATAATATTATTGATAATATTGTTTTTAATTTTAAATTTTAAAACTAAAAATATGAATTTATTATATTTATTATTATATTTTATTATATTTAAGAATATTTGATTTGAATAAAATTAAGTTTTAATTAGAAATATTTATTTAAAAATATTTAAATATATAAAATATATAAAACATAAAGAAATATCATTTAATTGAAATTAAAATCGTCGCATTTTACCTTGGAATCGTCATATAAATAATTGGAAATCGAAAAAGAAAGCATTGAATTTTTTTTTTTTTTTTTTTTTTTTAGATCCTTATTAGTATTATAATTTTAATATTAAATTTAATATTTAATAGTCGATGTTTGACTATTATGTTTGACTTCAATTCGTTTGGCTAAAAATCGTTACGTTAAGTGAAATCCGAGTGAGGCTGAACGAGGGGCACTTGAGGAACCTCTTTAAGTGATATGCACTTATTCTAAAAGTCAACGAAAAATTGTGAGTGCAATTCCAAAATAGAAGAAGAAAAAGAATATTACTGGTTTGATTGAAGTGGTTCCTTTATTAGAACCAATTCAATTCAATTTTCATTAGACAAATTATTTTTATAAAATATTTTCTCTTTTTTTTGTTGCCTTTATTTTTGGAAGGTAATCCAATATCATATCAGTGAATTTTTCCTGATAAAAATAGAAGAAAATAGAAAAAGTCTCCTTCTCACCCTATTGCGGATGGTAATAATTATCCTCAATTCTCCGCTTCTCCTACTAGGAGCCTTACGAGATTGAGGCTTCTGTTCTCCTACTAGGAGCCTTACGAGATTGAGGGTTCTGTGCAGTATCTTAGCTGTTCCTAATAGTGCATTCTTCTAGATAGAGATTCTCTGATTTTTCTCCTGGAATCTGCTAGAACCACTTTTGTACTTTAGGGATCATAGTTCCAAAAAAAAGTGCCATTTTATATTCTATGAAATTTTTTAATAAAAATATGACTTATTATTCAGATGTTCGAGAAAATATTCATTTTAAATGAGAAGCTTTTCAATCAGATCCAATTAAATAGATGAGGAAAGCCTATATTTTTATTGTCCAAACGAAATTTAGCATTACTTACAGTAAACCTTTTACTGTAGGCGATTCGGCTAGCCGTACTTATGGTTTTTAAGCCACATTATTTTGTGGTGATGAGGTGCATAGAATTCACTTAAATTACCAAAATGATTCAATAAGTTTTAGAACGAATCTGATCTGATTTACTCACTTCATAGTGGTTCGTGTCCGATAAAAAATCAGCGCATTCAAAATATTTCCAATTGTATTTCGAATTATTGCATTTTTTTCTTATTAGAAATAAAATTCTACTCGAAACGACCACAAATGGTACTTGAAAATAGTTCGACTGATTGACCTAATTCAAATTATTCAAACAATATTTCATTTATATTTTTCATCAAATAACTAAAAAAAATGCTTCGACAAATTTGCTCGAATTTCTATCGAACAAAATCTTTAAGTTGTTTTTTCAATTAAATTGATCGTTAAATTGGGAGAAAAATTTTTATAGAAATGTTTAATCGTTCGAAAAAAAACTATAAAAATCGATTTTCATCAAAAACAAAGAATGGAGAAAGAACTAAGGCAGAAACAAGCAAAATTTTCTCGCCTTCATTTATAATTTAGTGCAAAAAATTTGCATTTGCACTTTGGCGTGCATGCAAGCGAAGCGATCATCGTTTATCCACGTGTTGCATGGGTTTTATTATTTATGAATTCGATAAATGAATTTGTATTATTATTGGAGAGTTGAATGGCTTGGGGGGTTATTACTGACATAGCTCGAATCGCCGATGTTCCGGCGATAGTAGATCTGTAGAAAAATTCGGCCGATACTAGCGACTCACCCGTACTTCTATCGGACTCTCTGGCATACTTGGCCAGTGCGATAAACCAGCGGAGCGAGTCGCCAATCAGTAATGATAAAAACTGTTAAGAAAAAATTTGCATTATTATTAGTCATCCCGATTTCACTTTTAATGATAAGTGATAAATTTTTTCTAGTTAATTAATAAATAATTTCTTTATGAATAGAGCTTTATTAATTTATTATTATCAATGAATAGAATTCGGAAAATTTTTTTATCGATGAACAAATCACTTATTACTAATTACTAATTCAGAGCAATCAACTATAATCAGCGTGCGCGAACAATACACAAGCAACAGCCAGTAAAGCAGTCCAACCGTGGCGAAAATTGCCCTTAGAAATAATATTGCACAAAATATTCTCTATATAACTTAGAAGAAGAAGCCCTGAGAAGCCATAACCATCATAATATTTAACAAAAATTTAGTTAATTCTTAGAAATAATTCTTAATTTATTAGTTGTAATATTTATGCCAATAAGTCTTTGAATCTCTCTCTCTCTATTCCTTATCTCCATCGCCTTTAATGATTGCCATTTATAAAAATAAATAAATGTTATCGTTTTTTGATAGGATGATAGTAGTCTTTTTTTTAAGAGTCCTCACCACCACCACGGTTAAACTCGCTCCACTGGCTTGTCGCAATGGGCAATATTCCTTGGCGATAGAAATATAGGTGAGTCGCCAGCATCACCCGAAGGATGATAATAGTATAATATTAGAAATTCTTGCCAGAGAACGTACTTAGAGGCGTAGAAATAGAAATGGTTCGGTAAAGTACCCACTCGATAATCGTTTCAGGTTTATTTGCATTGCCTATTTCTTGCATAAAATATTCTAAAATAAAATATTATATGTTCAAATTAAATTATATATAAATATAAATATATATAAATATATGCAAAATATATATATATATATATATATATATATTTATATATATTTTTAGCAATCAACACTCGCTAAAATTATAGTTATTTTCAATAATCCTACATATTGTCGAAATTCGACGGATCAGAGTGTTGTAGAAATTGTTTTGGCAAGGATCGCTGCTGCAATACGGTAAAATTTCTAGAATTTTTAAGCTGTCGTTTGTTATTGTTTTTATTAGTTGTTTTGTTTTTATCAAAATAATTCGCTTTTTGCTGGAAGTAGTAATAATAATAGAAGGAAAAAATTTTCCATTACTCTCATATTTAGATCAAATAATATTTATTAGTGTTTGGAAATCTTAGAGAAACGAAAAGCATCGAAGTCTATGCGCCAGTTTTGGTCGATACGCTCGCCATGTGCCTAAGCCATAAAATGACGCAAATTGGTGTGAATGGGCCTCAAGATACACCACACTGTAAAATTGCTTGTGATATACTTAGTAGCCTTTTTCTTGTATGTTTCTCTCCTTTTTTTATTATTTCCTCCAAGTTTGAAATCACAAAATCTCCTCGTGGATTCTTTCAATTATTTCTTTATAAGATCATCTATTTTTTCTTATTCATGTAAGATAATTTGAATTTCATAAAAACAAAAATTATTACAATGTGAAAATTGATATAAGCAAATATTTAGCACTATGGTAATAAATCGGTTATGACTGTAACAGTGCCAACAGCCATTCGAGCTCTTAGTTGTGGCAGTGATGAGTTAACCCGAAGCACAACAAGTTATTTGCAGTTAGCTGCGATACATCACGGCAGATTGCTAGCCCAGTACTCTATTCAAATTATATCTAATATAATAAATGGTAAGATTTTGAAATTAAGAAAATTCAAAAATTGCTTAGCAGTGGTGGCAGTCGAGTCATTTAGCCTCAAACCTTACTGCAAAATATAATTTCGTTCTTCTTTTCATTTCATATTGGAATAAATTGTAAGTTATTAAAGAGTTATAATTTAAATTATTACTCTTATATTTTCTTATTATAGGAAATTTTCCTCTCGCGAGAGTTGTTCCACAGATTTACCCCGAAAATCGCGAACCTTTCCATGCTCATTTCCCACAGCTGCTGAGGTTGTTGCAAAACGAGGAAACGGATCAATCCGAGCGGTTGTCCGTATTGCAGTTTGCCTCAATGGTTACAAATGCCAATCCCGATGTACGATTCAATCGAGATTAAACTGATTCGGTCATAAGAGAATATTCATTAAAACATGTTCATCCTCTGAAAAATTACATGAATTTGCTTACAGAAGCAAAGGTCGGAAAATTTTGCCCCTCGTTAGAATCAGAGAGATTCTCTTCTGGCACTCTTTTTCATATGATTTTCAAGCTTTGTGACTGCTACATGCTTTGACCACAAATTGAAAAAATTCGTTGTTGTGAATTTTGAAGTAAACTTACATTTAGGGGTTAGAAAAATACGTTTTAGTACGTTTGAAATTGTTGTTTTTTAAATTTCTCACCAGAAATTTTCTTATATTTAGTCGAAAAGAATCGGTGTGGATTTTCGATATATGTGTTGTTATTAACATATTTTGCACTGACAGACTGAATTTTGTTCTTGTCTCTTGGATGTTGCAAATTTGTCATTAGAAAAAATCCATTGCTCGTCTATTGTGGGTGGTGTGCGTCATCCACAGTCTCGGGTCCTTTGCCAGAGACCTGGAAGCGCGAGAGTTCTATGCAGTCTCTTAGATGCTTCTAGCAGGCGCGGTCTTCTAGGAACAGATATTGCTCCTGGAGTCTTTTTTAGTTTCTAGTTTACAACACCACTGAGACTACTTTGGCTTTCACCTCCCACATCATCTTTTATTTCAAATCCCTGGTATTTCCCTATCTTCTTGCTTGGTATTGCTATATCTACTAATTTTCTGTGCATTGTCTACTGTCACAATACTTGGTTGATTGGTTTGTATTATATATTTGTCTATTTGGTCCCACATAACCAGTTTGTTATTCTCTACGATTTTCTGAGCAATCTCACATTCAGTCTTGGGAGGGTATAAGCCATATACTGTGCAAATGTTCCTGTAAATAATGCCATAATGCCAGCTTCTTGGTTATGCCTTTCAGCATAACTTATTCTTGCCTGCATTCTACTCTTGCCACTATGTGTTGAGCAGTTTCTGAGGTTTTTCTATACTTTGAATTCTTTCCGCTGTGGTAAATCTTTGCTTCTATGGATCTGGTGCTTTATAGTTGTTTTTGAGCTGATATGGTCAATTTTCAGCCTAAATTCAGTAGAATTTCAGTCTGCCAATACATCCTATGGAGAGTTTTGATAATTATGTATAAAAAATTGAGTTTTCAAATTTTAAAATATTCTTTGAACAATTAGTAAATTTCAGCTGATTCTCGGTTATCTTGAAGATCTCGATTCTTTTCTTCAACTTTCTTCAACTCGTACTGCTATTCTTCATATTTTCTTATCACTTATCTCACTTAATCGCACTTTTGCACTTGTACCACGCTTATGTGCATTACGAAATGCCGCCATGTGAGATTTTTAATAAATTCTAAATAATTTCTTGAAATATTGAGAAAATTTATTAGAAATAGCGAAAAAAAAGCGAAATAATTCGAAGATGAAAATTTGACGAATTTTTTTGAAAAACTTTATCATATAGAAAATTAGTTTAAAACGTAGTTAAACGTTTAAAAAATTCGCCGTTTCTACTTATATTAATTGCTTTTAGTGGAACAGAATGTGATAATACATTAGCAATGATTGCAAAAATAGTTGGAGTAATTGGACGAGTCGATTGTGAGACAGCAAATATTGCAGCAAATGATCTCATTGGAATGTGCAAACGGCGCTCAGAATCCATGCCAACGATACTTAAGGAAATAGAAGGTATTATCCATTAGATTTTCATATTAGTGATAAGCTGATTAAGAGTGATTTCAGGTGTAGCTGAATGTTATCCTCTAGCCGTATTGCCGCATTTGAATTTCATACTTACACTTCCAACTGCGAAACCATCCACAGCTGCTGTATGTGCGAGGATTCAAGTGCTATGCAGGTTCAACTTTTTTGAATTAATTTAAGTTTTAAATTTAAATTTACTCGAATTTTATAAAATTATGATCATATTTGATATTTGATGTATAAAAAAGAAAAAAGGAAAAAAATGGCCATTATTAATGAATAATTAATAATTAACAGTTCGAATAAAAATAGTTGGAATTTGTAGCGATGATGCACGAAGACGAAATGGTTTACTTAGCTCACCTAATGATGATATAACTGTTATAAAAGTAATTAATGGTGTCGATCAATCTGAAGAATCAATTATTAGCTCAAAAATTTCTGTTAAGACCGATGGACCGATAATATCGAGGTAACTGTTCAGAAGATTCCTCAAAGTACTATAGATTTAGGCACTAAAAAAAAATGAGATTTTTAATAAAATAGTTCAGTGAGAATTTTAGAAAAGATTATTGTTTAGGAAAATAATAGAGTATGAAAACTTACAGTGGAATTCGAACAACTGTAAATATTGGTGATTCTGGAGTTGGAGATCATTCAGCTCAAGAACTCGACAAAAATACCGAAACACTTGCAAATGCTTATATGAATAATCGGAATCGATCAAATTGCTCATTAACTAATCATAAAAGTCGTTCATACGCTAGCCTGAATCCCTACTGGTGAAGTTATCATTAAGCTATCTAAAAAATAAACTAGGAATAGTCTCTCGCTCTTCTTGGATCCTTTTTCTTTCGTTCTTGTGCTTGTGCTCTATATTTTCACGCTTTTTCCACTTTCTTCTATTTAATTTTAGCTGTAAAATGCTGAAATAACTACATGGTACAATAGCTAATCTAATTTTTCGATTATCTTTCAGTGAGAACATCTCAGTTGTCGATACAAATTCTCGTGATTCGCCGTTATCAGTTATATCTTCACATGCTGGTCGACGCACCGATGGATCTGGTTTTATGCCTACTTATCCACCTCCGTCTTATCATCCTCCTAAAGGGGATGCTTCATCGAAATCCAAAGTACATTTAATTCCAACAGCAATCCACGTAAATTTTTTACTGTTAAAAAGAAACTAAAATTTCTTCCTTTTGAAACCGGAAATATGATCATTGAATAGCTTTAAAAAATGGGTTTTTTCATAGGCTTCGCAAAATAATTGAATAATAGTTCTAATGATTTATTTAAGTTTTATTTCTTCAGTCTCGTTATTCCTTCTTGAAAATTATTTTATAATCTAAATCATTATCATAGTCTGTACAATATTTCAAAAAATAAAAAAAGAGCGAAGAATACAGATTGGGAAAGATGGTCGTGTTCGCCCACTAGCCATGCATACACGAAGAAATACGCCTCAATGGATACCAACCTCTTCGAATTCCGCTTCTTACGAAACAACGTTCCCAGCTAATTCAGGGCCAGTAACAACTAAACTAGCATCAGGAAGTGGAAGTACCGTGCATGTGATTGAAGAGCAAAATGATTCCATACCAGAAATTCAGTCTACTGGCGAAGATTCACAACAGAATGTAAGAAAATCTTAGGAATCTTTTTTTCCCAACAGATATCTTTTTTAAAAATTCCTAAAGCTTTATGTCCAAAATACTTTTCGAGACAACTTCAATTATTCTTTTTTCAATAAATTATTTTTCTTATATTAAAGAATGAAACGTGCGATCGAGGCGATGTTGTACGCCAATTTGTTGATCATCGCCGAAGTAAAATTCGAAATTATGTTACGAATTTGACAAGAAATTATCCAATTCCCATACAATGTACCGTAGAAGGAACGAAAGGTGAATTCGTTGTATTTTCCATGATAGTAACGGCGAATTGCCCAGTCTTCTTACTAAATTTCAAACTTTAATAACTATTAAATCACCTATGAAATTTGTGGAAATGGAGTAAAATAAGGAGCGTTGTGAATTTCGAACGACTTTACATAATGAAGTTTTTTGTTCGCAGCCTTCTATGACTGGTTACGTTGTCTTGTCGCACAAGGCAAACATGCCAGGGAGTCCCTTGGCGATAGAAGCACCACTGAGTATCGCCAGCATCATCCGGATTGTGCATCAGAATGACCGAACTGAGGAAATCGGCGTCAACTATTTTTTAATTGCTTTTTTTTCGTATTGGATGGTTTTTTAGGCACAAAACTTCGTATGAGAGTTCATTTCCGTTGTCAAATTCGCGATTCGCATTGTATTTTTGATGCAAATAATATGTTTGCTTTCAAAACAAGAGTTGCACCTATTTGGTTACATTTAATGTTTCTCCAGGTTCATTTCTTTGTTTCGAAATCCTTTTATGCAAATTTTATTTTATATATGAATAATTTTTTCATCATTTATACTCTAATTTACAATACAATATGGGGAAAGAGTGGTTGATTATCTTATCCAAAGGGACGATTTAGCTCTTTTGACTGATTTCTGATAAAAGTAAAATTCGAATGGCTATTGGGGATTAATTTTTTATCTCTTATCACTAAGTAAATTTCCAGCAAAATACCATCAACACACACACTTATCACTAAAGAAGCTAAAAAACGATGAGTATCCTTGGAAAAGTAAGGGAAACGATCTTTGATTTGTGGTACTCTGAAAATAACTCTGATCTCTCTATTTTCGGTCCATTTATTAATTTTCAAATTATCATTTAAACGATGAAATACTGGAAACATTACAGATGGAAGCATCGAGTCTAGAATCCACAGGAGAAGTAGTCGCTCAATCATCCGAAGCCTTTCGAACATTGTCCCATTGTTGGTCATGTCTACCTACGAACTATACGAAAAATCGGCCTTTCATCACGCTCGCCACTTCAGCATTTCCAGCACTTAAGGTTTTTAAAATTTGAAAATTTGAAAAAAAAATTTATCAAACTTATCAACCTTTTGAAATATCTTAGTGAAAAGTATGACTTGAAAATAACCCATTTTTTACAAATGTGCCTAAATTTCTGCCCGATTTATTTTTGGCTTATTTGCAGGAGCAAGAGCAAATATATAAAGAACTGCAAGAAGCTCGTTACTTCGATTCTTTCACTTTCAGCATGCATTATCAAAAATGGAGTTGTTTTAGTTGTAATTATCCGGAACGAGTTCGGTAATATTCCGTAATATACTGAATTTATAAGCGATAAAAATAGCTCTACGATGTAACGTTATATCTGACTGATATAACGTTATATCTTTTGGCTGATTTGGCTTATTTTCATATTCTCATATTTATTTTCCACGCTTACTGTTGTAAAATTGATAGTATAGATCAATTCTTCGATCCGATTCACCAAATATTCCGGTTATCGAGGGTCAACTAAAAGAAAAACGTGGTAGATGGAAATTTTTGAAGCGTTGGCATACAAAATATTTCACTTTATCGAGTGCAGCTCTTACATATAGAGATCGACCTCAAGATGTAAAATTTTAGATGAGATTTTTCATCTTCCTACTTTGTACTTAAATTACAATTTTGATTTAAATCCTATATTCTTCCTTATGCAAATAATTTTCTTTTAATAATTATTAACTTTTTTTTTAAATCATAAATTTTTTTAAAGCTTGAATTAGTTTTATTTTAGCCATCAACCGATAAAATTCTATGCCCGTCAATTGATCTACGAAAAATTCGCTCTATTAAATCGCTAAGCAAAGGTCGAAAAAGTCGGAAATCTTTGCCTAAAGCATTCGAGATTTTCACCGATGACGATGTATCGTATGTATTAAAAGTAAGCATGAGATATTTTTTGAAATATTGCTAATTCTACGATTTATTAATTCGAATTTGGAAATTGCAAAATTTTATTTTTTGAGAATTCATGTCTTAAAACTTCGATTAAATGTGACAATATTTCTTTATTTCTATCATTTGCTTCTGTCAAATAATACGGGTAAACAGTATTTTTGCTAAATGATAAGTGATAAAAAGTGATAAGGTCTTTTGCGAATTTTTACAATTTTTTTCAGGCTAATGATCGATCGAAAGCAGAAGAATGGTTCCAATGTCTACAAATTGCCGTCGCTCAAGCACATAAAGAACGACAGTCGATTGCTTTTTAGATAATTTTTTTATAACGATGATTATTTCAATAATATTGTTCTAAAATTGATTAAATTTTTTTGCGTTGAATATTATACTTTATATTTTGTATAATAAATAATACTAAATATGTAAATGTAATTATATTATGTTTAGCTTGTATTTATTTATTTACTTATAAGTTATTTGCATTATTTCAAAAAGCTTTATTTACGCCAATAGTAAAAGTTAATTGTTCTTTTTTTTTTTAATTTGTGATATTTTACTGTTATAGAAATTTGTTAATTTTTTTTAAATTATATAAATATAATACAAAAAAATTCATACAATAAACAATTCGCTTCAACTTTTTTTTTTTTTTAATGCGATGTTTTACAATAATATTTTATTATTTACTTAGGAATACGAGAAATGCAATAACAAACATTTATTTTTAAATATATTTATTTTCAGAAAATAATAAAAATATAATAGCAATAATATCGTTTAATTATACATTTTTCTATCAAATTAACACAAAAAAAGCTTTATTAAAGGTAGAATTCTTATTTAAATTGTATTAAATATCTTATAAAGAATGGCTTCGCTTTTGCGAAATAAAATGTGAAATGAACGGCTTTCTTTCGAAATCCGCAAAATCTAAGAGTTTTTTTTGCAGAAGAATTTTCATGTTCTTCATGGAAATTTTGAGAAAATTATTATTATTTTCTTTTTGCCTTAAAAAATATTTAATAACCGAAAAGAAACAATAAATTGTTTTGAAAAATGAGATGAGAAGGGTTATTTTAGAAAAAATTACCTGCAGTTTAGCTGTATTTTGTATGAAATTTATTGTAAAATATAAAATATGATTGATCGAAATTTTTTCGCCTTAAAAACGCATAGAATTTCAAGTAAAATTTCTTAAATAGCCGTTATTTACCTTTTCTTTTTGCCTAATTTCGTACTTTGAGTGCTAAAATGGACGTATAGCATACTAATATGTGAAAATAACTCGTATTAAAAGCGAAAATCACGTGTGAATTCCGGAAGTTCGAATAGTTATAGCAGATATTGGAGGGGTTTTTAACGATGACTGATCATAAATGGTGTTATGCTTCTTAGCACGAAAAGATTGTAAGAGATGCAAAGCATTGAACAAGGTTGGGATTATGATAAGGCCATGTGCCAGGCCAATAGTCACGATTAATATCATTGTTTTTGCAAACACCTGAAATAAAAGCTCTCAACTTAAGTAAATTTAAATGAAGTCGATTGAATTAAAATTTTTTTAAACTTTTTAAATTTTATAAATTTTTATAAATTTATAATTTTATAATTTTTATAAATTTCTTATAAATTTTTTCATAAATACTTTTTATAAATTTATAAGTTATATAAGTTTACTTTGATAAGTTTGATTAAATTTCTAAGTTTCACTTTGATAAGTTTGATAAGTTTTTTTCTATCGAACAACATCAAAAATATAGAAAGCATGAGAAAAGATAAGGGAAAAGCAAATATTAACTAACTTTTCCCATATAAAGTTCGACATAAGTCACGCTGAGTACGCAAAACAAGCTTGATAACGCTGCTTGCAATATAGGGAACGCTATTGTACACATGCAATGATATAAGCGAATTTTTGGACTCGGTAAAGCTGGAAAATGCATCTCAAATATTGCTTTGATATTCTCAGGTATTTTATTTCAAATTTAATCAGTTTAGGCAAATTCAACTGAAAGAAAATAGAATGGCTTAATAGTTTGTTGATCTTAGAATGTTAATTCTGTGGTTCTACTACCAAGAAAAAGAAATTTTTTAAAAATCTGGGTGATACGCCAAGTGTAAAGTTTGCTTGCTGCAACATGCCAACGGAGCAAACCTAATCAAAAATGGTGAGTGAAAAAAGAAAAATCAACTAACGTCTTTGGTAATAATGGTAGGTGACATGAGCAGGAATATCCACACTGAAACCAATGGACATAATCATAGCTGACATTACTATTGGATCCAAATTCACATCCCATATAGAGAGGAAACCATAGATTCCTAAATTTGTGATTATCTGTGATTTCTGATTATTAGTCCAGTCGATGAAAAATGGGATATTTATTTGTAGTTCTTTATGGTGCTAATCTTTAATTTAAAAAAATTTTTTTAAATTGAAGATAAAAGATTTTTTTCTTTTAAGAAGTGGAATGGCGCCGATGCTGAGGTTCCAATCCTTTCAGAAACAAAACCAAGGTGATGCTGGCCACTCACCTGTATTTCTGACTCCTAGAGATTCTTTGGCATATATGACTAGTGCGACAAGCCAGAGAGTCTAACCAGTACTGGTGGGAGCTTTTGAAATAAAAAAAATTTTTCATAAATTCAAGGATCTATGCGATATTATATATTGTTGACGTTGATAATTTTTCCTTCAATTTAAAACTAACCCAAGCAAGTACTTATGATAGAAAAAGTTGCAATAATTGCACCACTGGTTCGTTTAATAAATAGTAAGCAAACAAACATCATACAAACAAAAGTACAAATCGATGATTGCAGAGTTTGTACGACTAAAGTTCCAATAAGGTCGAGAAATTTTGCATCGTCATCATAGATACTAACTTCGAAGAATGAATACTGGAAATAATTAATTACGGTAGCGATTTATATTTAATACTCATCAAAATGACCACATGTATATCATATCATGTATATCACCAATTCACCAACTGGTGAATTTGATATGGACAAAGCAATAGCTCACATTGTCAGCAACTTCACGAAGCTTTTGCAATAATATAGCTCTATTCGACCACTGTTTTAGTTCTTCACCATGAGAAGAAATTGTAAAAAAAAATTTATTCAATATAATTTGACCACTGCAACAACAAATCTTTAATAGCCAATGGCAGCAATAATTATTAAATCATAAAAGAAAAATCGTAAAAAAAGATCCTCAAACCCTTAAAAAATTCACAAATTATACTTTTCATCTGTTGAAAGATCCAAGAAACCTTTCCAGTGACGAAATTCGGGCCATTCGAGGAAATATCGTAATTCGTTTGTCACTGTTGAAATGCTAGTAATATTACTGAAGTTTATTATCAAAAATAAAAGATTCAATGCTTTATATTTGATTCTAGGAAAAATTTTTCATTTTATTTTATTTGCATATTTTTATTTTTGAATTAATTTCGTTTAATTTATAATTTAGTTATTTTTATTGAAATTCGCTCGGTCTCACTTTTGATTTTCATCGATGGAGCGATCAGATACTCGAATAAATTCTTCAAAATCTCTTAACCAAAAGTTGCTAGCGAAGCGTCCTAAAGAACTTGGCAGGCTTTCAAAATCTTCAGCCTGAAAATTTTTTGTAAATAGTTTATCCAATAATTTTTAGAACAAATAGAATAGAATGATTAGATGTGGAAATTTAGAAATAAAATCTTTTAATTTGTGGCTTCTAATTAGTCATTTTTACTAAAATAACATTGTTTCATTTTTAGTTTTTATTTATGATGCGGTGACTTAGCAATGCTCATTTCGGAGCGAATTTCCTTGTTTTTCTATTCTATTATAGGAGTAAATATTTTTCAAAAACCTGGATGATGCTGAAAATCTACTTGTGACTAGTGATTCAAGTAGTTTTAAAATTTTCAAAACTTAATGATTAATAATAATTGTAATAAAATGAAATTTCTGATAAATTTTAATTTTAACATTCCGTTCGTTCAGCAAAATTTTTAATGTATTAAAATTTTTTAAAAAAAAAAAAGCAAAAAAGGATACAAGTTTGTTCAGCAATCGGAAATTGGTTGGGTCATCCAGTCGTCCCGGCTTTCCAACAATTATAAAACATACGGAATAATAAGGAATAATATATTCTTCTCTCAATTTTAATATCTATAATGAAGCACATAAAATAATAAAATCTATAAAATCGTAGTTAGAATGATGATTGCTAATACAAATGAAAATAACTATAAGAAACATTAAATATACTAAATATACTAAAGATTGTCATACCTTGACCATGTCAGAATCTTGCACTAAAAGTCGCTCAGGTCTGAGTTCAGCTGTCATATTTTTTGCTCCGTAAATTGATATACACCAGTAAATGATAAGAGATAAAATAACGACAAATGTAACCAATTTAGAACACAAAATATCGCAATACTTTTCAACTAAACTGAAAAGTTATCATATTGAAGAAAAAAATTATCATTATTTATACTCTTCTACAAAATGAATTGAAACTTTTAAGTCTAATCCATTTGAGTTACAAATTTATGGAACTTATTACTTATTGTTATCTATCAGTGGTTATTGGTCATCATTTCGGGCTAAGTTTGCTTCATTGTAAGCATATAAACTTTTGCTAGAGCGTCATTCGCAACTAGGAACTAATGAAAAGTTTATTCTTGTTAAGAGATAGGTCGAAATCATGCTTGGAATTATTCTCTAAGCAATATTCTTTAATTAGATTTTTGGTACCACTCGGACCTATTTAATTTATTATTAACAAAATATTTCATCTTTCCTGCAATAAATTAAAACAATTTGAGAAAATCAATTGGGCTTATTGAAATAAACACTGATAATTAATAAAATAATTACCTTTTAAATGTGTTCACCAGTAAACTTTTCAAAGAATTTTCTTTTGAATGATTTTGACTTTTGATAGATGCTTTTCCTTCGTATGTCATTTCATATTTTCCTGCCACCACCATAATCGCAGTGAAAAAAGTAATCTTAATTATAAGAGAGGAAAATTCTCTTCACAATATATGAATGCATTCATCACAAAACATAGCAATTCAAGCTGAATGGGATTAAAATTTTTGAAGAAACAAAATTAAAATTACTTGATAAATAAAATCCATCGTCATTGTAACAGCATTTCCCAGGCAAAACAACTGAATTTCAGGAGTTGGCGTGAGACTTCCAATGCCAAATGCTAAAACGTTCGTTAGTGTTGTGATAGTTACAGATGGACCTGCAATTCAAATATTTACCGTTAAATTTGAGAAATTTGGCTAAATTCGCAGACGATACGTTGGATTTGAGTGCCTCTCTAAGAAAAAACTTGGTGCGAAGAAAAATGGTTGGAATTTCATGATGGAAATTGGGAATAGAATGGCTCAGTGGGTTGTTGCCCGATTCGGAGCATCAATGCTGAAGTTCTTCCGCAGGAGTAGACCTGTACAAAAATCTGGGTGATGGTGGCGACTCAGCTGTATTTCTATTGCCAAAGGATTCCTTGTCCTTGGCATATTTGTGCAGTGCGATAAGCACCAATGGAGCTAATGAGTTTAACCTTTAAAGGTGAGGACTCTTAAAAAAAAAAGTAGCTCTTCAAAAAGTTCGCCGAATTCTAAATAATATTTTGGTATATACTTACATGGGAGATTATTATAATTAGATTGATCTTAACGTTCTTCAAAATAACCAATGATGAAACAAGGAAGATAACAATATCAAATTATAGAACAGGTCTTGAGAAGGAAGGAAACTTAACGGGCAGATTCACACGCAACAATATGTTTTTCTGCTACTCACCATATGTCCTGCCACCATATTTAACAATCTAAGGGAATATATACAGAAGACAGCGAAATAAGCATCAAAGCCTGAGTTACAACTATTGCTCTAAGCGAAATGGGGTATTAGGGAGGGGGTATTGTAGCACCCAAAGATGATGATGCTTATAGCAGCATTAAATACATTTGGTATATACTTACATGGGAGGTAGATCAAACATAGGAAGAGTATCACAAGATAAAACGCTTCATAGGATGAACCATGGATAAATAGTTAGCTGAGAAATTGTTACCAGTTATTCCACTAGTCCGCAAAAGCTGAATTATAACAATAGAAGAAGAACCACTAAGAAACAGATCTACTGAAGTAGAGATCCCACAGCAGACAGACCCCAGACCGATGTGTGAGAGGCCTCAGAGATTTTCATAATCAGATTGACCTCAAAGTTCTTAAAAATAACCAATATCTTCCAGCATGGTACATATTCTAGCCTTCAGTTTATTTGTAGATGAATTTTCTTTGAAATCTGAGATGGAATATGGAAACGAAGATCTGAAATTAAACTCATTTTGACTCATTTTCATTCATATTTGAAGTATTTATATCAGTTTCGAGTTAGTCACTTTGAATTCCTTATAAATTATTTTAAAATGAAAATGCAACCTTAGAGATTTATTGCGTTGCCAGGAATTTATCATCAGAAAAGCATCATCAACCCCGATAGCCAGCACGAGAAATGGTGTTACACAAAGCGTTGAACCAAAACGAAGTCCAAACCAAAAAAGTAGCCCGAGACCGGTTCCACAAGCCATCATTGGGCAAACGCAAGCCATTATTGCTATAGCGATCTTAAAATATTTATTTACAATGAGGCTGTATAAACTAATTTTTATGCTCGAAAACTTATAAGGCATATACAATTCAATTAATTGAAAAAAGGTGACAAAAATTTTTAAATATATTTATTTAACCTTTGATAGATTCATTTGTGACATGAGGAGAGCGCTAATTGTGGTGGTAAATGTGGAGAAAATACACATTATAATAAAGCCTAAAATAACGTAAGGGAAGAGCAGCAGTCCGGATCGAACGATTTCCGCAGTCGCAAACAATGGTGTCATGATCACCACATCCACATATTCTGATGAAAAGTTTCTAAACAAGCTTTCTTTATTATTTCACCTCGAATACGAAAATAAATTTGTGCCAATTTTATAATCTCCATAGATACCTAAAATCTTAATTTCTTGTTTTTTTCCATAAAACATATTCAGCAAAATTGGCCTATTTCTTTTGTATTTGGAACAACTCATTCCCATTCTCAATACTATGCAGTGAAAACGGCAGAGGTTTAACGAGAGAGGAAACAAAATATGCTATAAATTATGTGCAATTAATTTTATAATTCACCACATAACTTTTGGATAAGAGGGGTAAATCGCCTAAGAATAAGAAGGAAAAGGAAAATGAATTTTAAACTAAGCTAATCAAATTAGGGTCTACGGAAATGCCCCAACTAGCCAAATCAAAAATGATACATTATATTCGAATATGAAGAAAAAGCCAACTACGAATTTTTAAATTCCAAATTATATTCCATAATTCTATTTTTTTTTTAAATTATTTTTTATATTATGAATTTAATCATGTTGATGTCATAAATCATTGCAAACATTAAATTTTTCTTTATCCAAAAGCATTGGCCTTTTATGCTCTCGCTAGTTCCATCGGCTATTAAGATGGAATCACCTACTTAGCCAGTCATATTAAGAGATAGAAGACAGCGGGGTCCACAGCATCACTCGGATTTTATTTTAAAAACTCTGTTTTCTCCAGCCAGAGGAACAACTTAAGATGCTTGTTTCACCCACCCTAATCGATGTAAAACGCTACTCGATTCTCTCTCTCAATCAAATTACGTTGTAACAATATACTTTTTGAAATATTCAACAACATCCAATTCAAAACGTTCTATTTCATTTTGCAATGCATCGGCTGGTTTATTTGCGCGAAATTGTAGCAAAACCATTCGAATATCGCGTAAATTATTTTTTATTTTAGCCTAAAATTTGCATCATAACGATGAAATAATTCGCGATTTATATAAAAAAAAATAAAATTATTAATTTACTTATTTAGCTTAATTGATTAGATTTATTACTAAAAACCATCTCAGAAATAATAAGAAATAAGTGATAAGTAAGAAATGATACAGGCAGAAGTTACTCCAAAGAGTGGTGTACCAATTTGAATAAAGGCAAATTATCACAGGCTTATCGCACTTGCTAGGTTACAACCTGTCATTCCCGAAATGAAATATGGTTGGTAGTGATAACTCATTTGTGCTTGTGATAATTTGATAATGCTTCTCATTCTCAAAAGACTATGGCGAAAGCGCCTCGAAACCAATGAAAGACCAATGGAAATCAGAAGAAATCAGAAATGTGTGATTAGAGGTGAAGAAAAGAAATCATATGCAACCTACTCTCTCATCGTCGAATATTGTTCGGCCTTTCACCGATTTTAGTTCTTTCAATGTGATTATCTCTTTCCTTCCATTTTCTCGTTCAATTTCTGCCTTAATAATGAGGAAATAAGATTAATTTTTTTGATTAGAATAAGTAAATAAATAAATTGCAAATTTATGATAAAATTTTTAAAAAAAAATGCGTTCAATTTGAATTTAAACTTGCATTTTCAAGTAAATTAATCTATTAGGAAAGTTTTTTTTTCATGAGTCTTAACATTACTGGTTAAAGATTCACTGGCTTGTCGCACTGGACAAATGTGCGAGGGAGTACCTTAGCGAGGGAGAAGATGAGTCGTCAGCATCACCAGGATTTTTGGACATGTTTACCGCTGGAGGCAATAGATACTCACCATCGGTGTTCTGAATTGAGAAACAACTCCACTGAGCCATTCTACTAGGGAAGTGAATAGAAAGGGTTAGATTTTTTAAAATTTTTTCGAAATAAAACTTACTTTAACACCATAGAAATTATTGTCGACGCGAAAATTCATCCCTAATACCGTAGTTACAGGGAAACTTAGATCAATTGCCAACGGCGTATTATTATGACTTTTGCTAATTTTTAAACCATACTGAAAATTTTTAATTTTCTTTGCGAATCGTCTTCTTCTAGAGCTTTCTTAATATGGGGCTTTACACTAATATTTAAAAGGCATTGAGTTATTTTTCGACTATTATGTTTTTTCTTCTTAGAAGCACTTAAACGCTTATTTAAATTCATTTCATCGAATTATTGGATTAGGCAAATTTCTTCTACGGAATCACTTGGTGCTGGAAGTTTAGGTTAATTTTCACCAGCACTAGGGAAAGACAAATTTGCTGGAATAAAGTCACAGCATGGACGCTTTAACACCAGAGCAACAATCTATTTCAGCTATTCTATCTTTATTCTCTTGAAGTAGCGAATTCCCTCTATCCATTTGGAATATTTGTACAAATGAACCAATAATGAACCATTATATTTAAATAAAACTTTATTAACCTTTTATCCTTTCCTTTTCCTTTATCTTTTCCTTTTTCCTTCCTTTTTTATGTCGAGTATCAAAGGAATTCAAAATACTTTTAAAAATGAGAATGAAGGATCAAGGAAAATTTTCAACTAACATAGAAATTTCGTACAGGTTCATTGAGATCACAGAAATTTGTACAAAGCTGATTGTAGGATAACGATTGATTTGTATGTTTATTATGCAAGAAAATATCATTAACTGCATGATCTAGAATCTAAATGAGAGATTTTAAGAAAAAATTATTCTAAATTTGCAGAAAAAATGCATCCAATAATGAAATTCCCTGTACATTGTACATTTTAGAATTAAAATCAAACTTCCTCTAATAACTCTCATCATTACCAGTTCGGCTGGTTCCGCTGGCTACAAGGATGAAATATTTCCAAGCTGATCACCATCTGATACCATCGTTGATAGTAATAAAAGCCATTTCTTTTTCCGCCATCTAAGTCCATATACGAGTGGTTCGCAAAAGCGAAGTGCGCCCATCAAGAACTGGACTGATGCAGTCAGGAAAGGTTTTGAAGGTATAGGAGGGAAATCAAACAATAATTGGTGAATGTAAAGCAGTTCCCCTTTCAAATGGCGATCATTATCAATGGAAAAATTTACCCTAACTGTATCATTTAACTGTGGAATATTGAGCATTGATTGACCATTTTTAGCAGTGATGAATATTAAAATTAAAATTGGTTGTCCTTTGCGTGAGAAAAATGCTTCATATGCCTAAAAATCACTGGGAAAGATAAAACAAATTCATCGCTTTTTCTCATTTCAAAAGAAAGTCAATGAAGTTGTAATTCAAATTCTATTATTAAAATGCAAAATGTTGAAATATTTTGGCCGGAAAATTCGACTGAAAGTTTGCAATTGTAATGGATCAAATGACCACCTCCAGCTCTTCCCTAGCTCGAGCTGCATATGGTGTGTAATCGGTGACATCGTTCGTTATTTTTGTTAATGGTATCGATGATGAACACATTGCAGTTACAACAATAGTAGTTATAATAAATGACCACGGATGAAAAGTTATTTGCTCGCCAAGTTTTCTTAAATTCAAGTTTCTATTTAAACCATTTAAAAATGGAAATTTTTATAATTGCAACTTTTTTCCAAGGAAAGGGATATAATATATTGTTCAAATAAATGGTTATATTGCGGATTGGATTTTTTCCCTCTTTTTTATTTCGTTTATCACCATATGGACGATAGGTAAACGGTGATTTAGCCTCATATAATTTGCGCTCACTATTTCTAGTTAAACTCGATCCACTGGTTGAGTCAGAAATTGTCAGAAATTTTAACTTTAAAGTCGCTTGAGTGGTTCTCAATGTTTAAGGGTAGAGTACCTTGGTGCTCAAGACGATGGACAATTAACTATCTTAATTTTAGACGAATCCTAGGAAATAGCTTACCGGAATAAATAAATAAGCAAACGAATACAAAACGGTTCATCGTTACTGTTCGAAGAATAAATTTCTGAAGGAATCATAAATTTCGCGAAACTGATGCTGCTAATATATATGAAATTATAAGTAGAGTAGATTTGGATCAAAAAAATTCAGATCAGATTTACAAAATTTTTTCGTATCTTCCAAAATTTGCAAATTTTATTCCAATTCTTTTAATATCGAATCGACTAAAATTAATTAATAATTATATAATAAAAATTGCAAAATACAAGAATACAAAGTATAAGAAGATATAGCATAATAATTTATACGAAAATTCGATTTTCTTATGATTTATTCATTGAAGAAAGAAAATATATGAAAAAATTTCATTTTTTCCTAATCACTTTATAAGTGATAAAAATTATTATACTTATTATTAATGCAATTTATAATCATTGCGTAATCAGTTGGCAATCTTTTTTTTTAGGAATCTTCACGATTACTCGTTCCGCTGGCTTATTGCAATAGACAAATGTGCCAGGAAGTCATTTATTCCTTGGCGATAGAAGTACAAGGCGGATTTTTTACTGCTGTGGGGAATAAAGCATATAAGTCCCTTGGCGTTCCGAATTGAGTAACAACCCACTGATTCATTCTACTCTCCTTCAATTTTTACCTAAATTTTTCATATTTGTTTTTTATATTTGTTTTATTTGTTTTATTTTATAAAGTTTAATTCTATATTTATATTTGGAATAAAAATATTTTAAAATTGTAATTACCGAAATATTATTTAATATATTTAGAATAATATTCTATATTTTTATTGTCTCATTAATCAAAAACGAAGTGTACAACAATGAGTTGACTGGGAAGAAAAAGAACGCCCATATAACATTTTCATAGGAAAAAACGAGAATTTTAGGATATGTGGGAAGCCTTAATTTTTAAATTTAAAAAGTGGAATAAATGATATGTTTACAATTGCAAAATGCGAATTCATTAGCTTGCCGATTCAAACTGAAAATTTCCATTTTTTTAATTCCTGAGGACTTCAGAAAAATTTTGCCGAAGAATTGGCATTCACTATTAAAAATTATACTCACCATTGATCTATTTCAGCGTATTTAAGGTGGAGGACAAGCAAAAATTGCTAAATTTCATAGTTATTAATTTAAAAAAAATTAAATCGCTGCCAGCAAGTAGTAGTTTTCAATAAAGAGTGTGAGGATTTAAAAAAATGACAAAAAATGTTGATGAATTTTTAATGAATTATACATAAATTTATTGAAATTGGGCAATAAAATTTTGATTTATGAGAACAAAAAATCAAATCAAATGAAATTTTCAATAAATAATTATTTGACTTGTTATAATTTCAGGGCTTTTTTTTACGAATTCGAAAAAATTTTGAAAAAAAATTTAGTGCGAAAATTTTATTCTGCAACTCATAACACTAATATTTAATATCTGAATATCTGAAAATATCTGAAAATAGAAGTGCCTCCAAAAATATTTGCTTTAACCTTTAATGTATCATATTAGGTGAATGGAATGTTTTTTTGTATGAAAGAATCCTTCTATTAGAAGTGAAATGTGGGTAGTGCTTAGGACTTATCTATACTTCTATCCCCAAATGATTCTATTTCAACAAGGCTCGTCCTGATAGCTCATTGAAATTAACCATATCAAGCCAATAAGAATATATAGATCCATTCTACAAATCCATTTACGCTCAAAAATAAGCAAAATTCACGTTCCATCAGGCCAGGAATGATTAACAATACGATGACGATTGCAAAGATGTCCCAAGTGGAATGGCTATATAAGACCAAAAATTTCAAACGATGAAACAGTGACGACCAATACGATCAGCCAAAGAGTGGTTGTTTCATTCATATTTCCCTTTTAATTTCGACTTGTATATTTTTACATTTTTACAATTTTTACTATTTTTACTGTTAAATTATACGTAAAGTGTACGCTATCGCGATTTTATTATTAGAAAGGTTTAATTACACAAGTTTGAGATGTACGACGGCGAATAATATTTTTTTTAACGGAGAATCTAACAAAAAAACCAGTAAAACATTCTGAACTTTTTCGTTACACTATATTAAAAAAGTGAAATTCAAAATAAATAAATTTTTTCGCAATTATTTTTTTTTAAAAATCGCAATATGCAAATGCCTTATAACGATAAATAAATATTTCAATTTCAACAATTTTATAAGCCTTATTTGTGTCAATATTGTTTCAAATAAGAAAAAACTTTGTCATCAAAAAATATCCTCGCTGATTCATTTTATTTATTATTTTGCTGAAAAGAAAAGCAAATTTGTAAGTTTTGCTATAAAAAAAAAACATGATATTAAAATCCAATGAATCATTTAGTGAAGTTTTAGTGATTGATAAAGTTTCTAGATAATGATAAAATTATGATAAAATTCTAGATAAAAGCTTTGTTTTTGAATAAAACAGAAAGATTTGGTGTTAAAGAGTGTCTTTGCTTTGATTACTTTGATTAGGTGTGTTTCCATTTTATCCATCATTCTTGTGGACATTTTGATGAATAATGCAACCATTCCAAAATCATATAAAAAAAAGAATAAAAATAGAAAAAGAAAAATTTTTTCATCAAAAAAATTGCAAATTGCAGTTAAAGATGAAAATACAAATTCTGCAAATTCCCGCAAATTATGGATATTTTTGGTTTAATGGAGGTAGGGGATGATTAATTTTAGATTAATTTTATTTTTGCTGAAATTATTAATTTTATTAATTTTACTGAAATTAACACTTTAACATTACTGAATAGCAAATAGCGCTCCCCATTGAGCAGCAATCCTCTGAACCATTCTATTCCCAGGTTTTTGCAGTAGGATTATATAATTATATAATTTAAATAAGGTTGCAGTAGGATTATATAAGTATAATATAATTAAAAATGATTTTAGGAAAAAAACTGAAGATTCTTGGCTAGAAATCTATTGCAAAAATCGGCAATAATTTGTTAAATAAATAAAAATATATATAAATTTATAAGAATAAATATCATCTAATAGACTCCCCTGGTAAAATTTGTCTAATCCAACATGCCAGCAGAGAAAGCTTAAACATTGGAGAATGCAGCTAGAAAAAAAACAGCCTCCAACATTTCTAGCTTGTTTGATTCCATAGATTTTTAAGATTCAGATTCTTCGTCGGACAGTCATAGTTAGTTAGGGACAGAAGAGCAACTAGATTATCACCAAATAATATTTGGCAGAATAAATTAAGTCCACTGGTTTGCCACAAAAATAATAACGAATTAACATGGCAACTAAATTTAATTTTAATTTTACTGAAATTAGATTAATACATCTAAAATTAGCGATAAAAAAGAATTTAAAATTTAGAATTAGCGTAAAAAGCAAAAAAATCCACTAATTCCAATTTTGGGAAAAAAAATATACCAATTATTTTTGATGTTTGATTAATTAAATTTCTATCTACTAAAATATAAAATAAAATATAATAGAATAGAACTCTAAGTAATCTTTAAACTAATTTAGAGTTCATTAATTCTCTCAAAAACGAACAATTACTTTTAAAGAAGGCTTATTTTTAAAATTATTTGCTTGCCTTTCTCTTATTTTCATCTTCTAAAGGTTTCAGTGTGATGAAACGTTTTCGAGATTCCAATAACTCAAAAAACTCATAGCATTGTAGGCTATTGAATAAAAAACCGACTGATTACGAACTGATTCCATTCCACTGGATAATTCTCTCATAGAAGTTTCAAGGTTTTTACTAGAGAAACTCCCAATGTATGAAAAGTAAATTGCCAATGCAAAAAGTTTTATGAAAATCATAAAAATTGAGAAAATTGAGAAAAATTGAGAAAAAAAAATTGAGCTCAAATAATTGTCTCAGAAATTTTGGAAAGCCTTTAAATCAAAAATACCCTCAAAAAATATAAGCCATAATTTAGAGCTTAAAATATTTTTGAATAAAAAGTTATTTTTTTTAAGTTGTTATTTAAGTTATTTTTTAATTTATATGAAATGGATTCGTACAAAGTTCAATTCAAAGTCGTAAAATTTTAAAATTTTTCGAAATATTGCCTAATGCAATTTATGCAATCTGTGATTAAGTGATGAGATAATGATGTATCAATAAATTTTAAAAATTGTCAATTCTGAAGAAGGAAGTCGAATTTCTTAAAGATTGAAAAGATTTATGAGAGGTATTGAAGTCAAACGAGAATAATTCATTTCACCAAAATTTCATTACACGTACGTCGTTAAATAAGAATCTGCTAGAATTTACTGAATAAAATGAATTACATAACTGGTTTATTTCTCATTGCTTCTCATAGCCATTGTCAAAGAAAGTTATCCATAAATTGTCGAAAAAGACGGAGCACAATAAAATTAAACTGGCTTATTGGCTTATTATTTTTGTTATTTTCATAGTTCCATTGTTTACTATTCAGTAACCTTTTATTTCTTAATTGACAAACGCTTATTTCATATTTTAACTTCAACGATTTTCACTTCCTCTTCTTTAGTTGATTTACGAAACATTTCTCATCAGGAAGCTATTTTACTTATTATCAGCCAGATTTTGTTTTATTGATAAGTGACAAGTTTATTGATAATAAATCAAGCTGCCACGCATTCAATGGATATATATCTCAATAGTAGTGCCCTTATGATTTCCGTACATTTTCTATTTTATCGATCTTAAATTTTTTTAGAAATATTGGCAAATATAAAAAATTGAAAAAGAAAACGGACCGTGAAAGAAAAATTAACAAAAATTCAATTAGACTGGCGAATTCTTACACGAAATCCATTTGTATCTACCAATTAATTTTTTTTTAATTAACAAAGGACTAAATTAGCAAGGATGGTTAATTTTGCGCGGAAAACTAATTGCTCATCAGTGCCTGGGGCTCTTTTCGTAATATTTCAATAATCGCCATTTAAAAAAGGGGGAATCCACTCACAAAATTGGACTAACTCAAAGCGATTTTATTACATAAAATCGAACGAATTGTTAAAGAATCTTTTTATAATTTTTTTGGGATAATTATTGTGAAATGAATGATGGA